CGTAGCCATGACGGCCAGGCACCCGCAGCGTCCGAGCAGCTCCAACGCTCATCCAGCCCGCCGCCTCCCGGGATCGCCGCCCGGAGCGGAAACACTTCAAGTCGGAGGAGGAGGGAGAGAAGTTAGAGACTCAGGAAGACTCGGCGGAAATGAGCACACCCGTACTCTGAATCTAGATTCTGATTGGTCCTAACAGAGAAGGGCGTTGACTCAGAGACCATTTTTGTTTTGGGCAAAGCTTTTGCACTGCTGCAATGATCTAACTTGAACAGGCTTGCGATTTCAAGATTGGATGTAACTCTGACAACTTGGGTGGTTGCATCTCTCCCCCCACTAAGAGGCTGTCTGGTTTTAATTAAATCATTGAACTTTTGAAACAGTAGGATCAGAAGGTTTTCCTGATGTTTACAAAATGAGACAAGATACAGCAAACTGCGAGTCCAAAAGGCGATTGAGTGCGGTGTTGCCAACGGTAACTTCACGCAATGTCAACTTAAGTCAGCGCAGCCTGTGTGGTCTTAAGAAAGCAGGCCATGGGGCCAGCAGATGGCGTAAGGGTTACGTCGCTGGACTCCCACATAGTCTCCCATTGGTTAGAGTCCCAGACCAGGGGGATTAAAACTCGGTGCGCGCTCGAAATCCCGAGAGGAGAATGGAGGAGAATTGCAGCGTGGCCATTCCCCCTCGGGCGTGACTTCTTGTTTTCTCTCTATGTCTCTTTGGCGAGCGCATGCGCCCTATAGAAAAACTCTTAAAAAAAAAGAAAAAGGAAAAAAGAAAGATGAGAGAGAAAGAGAGAGAGAGAGAGGAAAGAAAGGAAGGAAAGAAGGAAGGAAGGAAGGAAGGAAGGAAGGAAGGGAGAAAGGGAGGGAGGGAGGGAGGGAGGAAGGAATACTAGCCTAGTTCCATGTCATAGCTGGGGGGAAAAAAAATGAGAAACCATCAGATCAGCTCCCTGCGCTTGGCAAATGAGGAAAGAGGAATCAGCCAGTTCTAGTAAAGCTAAGGAAAAAAAGACCTCGTCTTCATAGAAAACTAAGTTTTTAAAAAATCTCATTCTATACAGTATACTAAGTGATTTGATGCCAGGGCTAATTAAGGAAAAGTAAAACTTATTCATTCATTCAAACATCTATCAAGCGTGTACTACGTGAGCGATGACTATATACAATTTATCTGCCAAACCAAGAAGCTTTATAGAGTAAAAGAGGGTGTGACTAATAATTAAGCTAGGTCAACAGGTGCAAACTAAATCATATGATCACCTTAACAATACACCAAGCACCGTGCTATGCACTTGGGGTTCAAAACAGTAAGATACTGTGCACAACTGCAAAAGGTCAGAGTTTATGGGTCGGCAGGTGGCTTGGAGGTTAAGGCAGCTGGGTCCCACATAGCGGACTCCACAGTTGAGTTCTGGAACTATGGGTTAGAGACTCTCTGGGCGCGTGTGGGTGCATGCCTAAAATCCTGAGAGGCACCAAGGAGAAGGAACTGGGGGGTGGCCATCCCTCTAGCCTCCCCCCCCCCCGGGGGGGGGGGAAGAGTGGTGATGATTTATCACTTTCTTTCTCTCTGTTTCTGTCTCTGTCTCTCTCCAGCAAGTGCATTCACCCTATAGCAAAAATTTAAAAACTAAAGAAAAAAAGGATTATACTTTAGTAAAGAAAAGGTATGTCATCAGTTAAGTATAATGAAAATATCACAGCTGCTACAAGAAATATATATGGAATATTGCAAAAAGGAGGTCATCAGTGCTGAAGGTGGGAGAATGGCCGGAAAAGCTTCAGAAATGATGTAGTCTTTGTGGTGATGTGTAGGTTTTCATTAAATAGGCAGGAGCCACAGGTCACTGGAGGAGTAGGAATGACTGACCCAGAAGACCTAAACCAGCATGATCCACAGGGATTATGACTGCCAGTTCCAGCATAGCCAGATGGAAGGGGCTTGGTGAAGAGACTATTTGGTGAAGGGACTCTAGTGTTGTACTGGGGATTCATAGGAAGGATCTTGTACATCATGCCAAGAAAACAGCATTACTACTGTAGTTTAAAGGAATAGGGAAGGTGGAAGTTTTCTAATGTGAGAAAATAAATGACCAAGTTTTTATTTCAAAGGATCTTCTGGCATTACTATCTTCTTCTGTAAAGTAGCAACTGGAGATGGGAGGTCAGTTTAAAAACTTCAGCAATAATTCAAGTAAAAGATAAGAACTTGGGGCCAGCAGGTGGCGTGGTGGTTCAGGGCACTGGACTCCCACATGGCTGAACACAGCTTGAGTCCTAGATCCTGGTGGCTTGCTCTCTCACCCCCTCTCTCTCTCACTCTGTCCTCTGGTCAAATTAAAATAAATAAATAAATAAATAAATAATAAAATAATTATTTTTAAAAAAGATAAGAACCCAAAGATTATTGCAATTGGAGTGGAAAATAAGAGTCAGATAAGATAGTAAGGCGATATACAGTACATTAAGAAAACAAAGAATCACAATGACTTCCAGGTTTTTGATTTGAGTGTCTAGATGGATATAGGGATGGTCCCTAAAAGAAGGACAATGGGAGAAGGAGCAGGTTTAGGAAGAAAATTAACTCAGGTTTTTAACACACTTCGTGTGTTTCTTATGGGTTGTTTAGACATGCCAGTTGGGACTCAGGTAAGAGTTCTTATTTGCATGTAAATAATATTTGAGCCATGGACGTGATTACCTTCACTCAAGAAGAGAGTGGTATGAAAAGAGAAAAGGGTCATGACAGAACCTTGAAGGACTCCACAGTGCATAAGACTCAGCAGAGGCACTGGACTAAGGCACTGGACTCCCACATGGCCAACCACACTGCAAGTCCCAGACCTGGTGGCTTGCATGCTTTCCCCTTCTCTCTTTCTCTCTCTGACAAAATTTTAAAATATAAGTGAGAATAACAAATCGAATTAAATCAATTAATTTAAGACTTCCCAGAGGAAGAAAAGCTAGGAAGAGAACCCACAAAGTAGATGCTACTAATATATTTATTAATCATCTTAAGAATACAACTTGACTTAGGAGGACTTGCACACTACCTTCATGCTTAGGTGGACAGTTTAACAGATTGATCCTTTAAGAGGAAAATCACTGAAAAGAGTTCTTATCAGTACTAATGGAAACAAAGTATCTATTAAAGCATCTGGCACATAGAGAGTATGCAAGAAAATTGAAATAATTGCTTTGGTACCAGGCAAGAATTTGCTAGCCCAAACTCAAGTATGCAAAAATGGAGGAATTCTTTATTATCTTCAGTCAACTTAAATCTCCATACCCCCAGTCTGCTAAAAAAATAAGAATGGGGACCAGCAGTTAGCGTAATGGCTATGTCACTGGGCTCCCATGTAGTCGACTGCAGTTCGCGTCTCAGACCCGGTGGCTTGAAACTTACGCTGGGCGCGTGTGTGCCCAAGATCCCGCCCGAGAGGAGAACGGAGGAGAAGGAATTGTGGAGTGGCCATCCCCCCTGGGGGGTGATTTCTCACTTTCTGTCTCTCTGTCTCTCTCTGTCTGTCTGGCGAGTGCATGCGCCCTATAGCAAAAAAAAATTTTAAAAAAAAAACTCTCCAAAAAAATAAATAAATAAAAATAAAAATGCTATCATGTTTGGGGGTTCCCAGCACTCCCTAGGAATCTGACAGTACAATGTAATGTTCATAAAAGCAGTATCATTTTGTTCACCAGTTTTATCTCCCACACCTCAAACAGTGCCTGGCAGATGGTGAAAAATCTCTAATCTTCAGATAGTTCCCTAAGTAAGAGGAAGTGCATTTATTTCTATGCTTTGCTTAAAATAGACAGGGCCTAAGCATCATTGGGCAGGTGGGCTCTCACTTACCTGAGGGCCCCATGAAGCCATTCCCTCCAAGGGGCAGGACCACATCGTTATCATTTCTCCGTGCTTTAGAATGTTCCCTCTCAACCTCTGTTCCCTTACTGCCATCAAATGGTCATCTAATCTCTCTCTCCTCAAGAACATATCAAAACTCAGTTCTGTCACCGGGCGCGTGTGTGTGTGCGTGCCCAAGATCCTGCGAGGAGAATGGAGGAGAAGGGATTGTGGCTTGGCCATCCCCCCGGGGGGTGATTTCTTGCTTTCTGTTTCTCTGTCTCTTGTCTGTTTGGTGAGCGCACACGCCCTATAGCAAAAACCTCTCCAAAAAAAGAAAAAAGAAAAAGAAAACTCAGTTCTGTGAGTTCAAACATTCATCAAAGATCATGAGCAGTTTGTCTGCAAGTCCTTCAACTGCTCTAAAGTCAGAGATCACCAAGGGTCTAGCTGCCTAATTGAAATGGGTGAAGGAATAATAATAATAATTTAAAAAAAAAAACAGCAAAGCACAAATTAATCTTTTCATTTTTACTATAGGGTGTGTGCACTAGCCAAAGAGACAGAGCGAGAGAGAGAGACAAAGAGACAGAAAGCGAGAAATCACCCCCCAGAAGGGATGGTCACGCCACAATCCCTTCTCCTCCATTCTCCTCGGGATCTTGGGCAGGCACACACATGTGCCCAGTGTGAGTTTTAAGCCACTGTGTCCAGGACTTGAACGGCAGTGGGAGTCCAGTGATGTAACCATTATATCATCTGCTTGTCCCCCAAATTAATATCTTAATAAAGCATCCTGCTATACTGTTAATGAACCAAAATTAATAAAAGCAATTATTAATTAATAACAATTGATGGAAACAACAAAGATGTGGAAGCAGACAGAATGGTACATATGTCTTCGCTCACCGTCAAGCTGCATGAGGCTCCAACTTTTACCCTGTGAACCTAAGATGGGACACATGTGCCCATTGCCCAGGCAGCATTCCTCAGATTTCAGATCTTTGCATTGAAATTTTGTTGAATAATTTTTATAATATGGATTTTTAGAGCATACATAGTCATTCAAAATCCTAGGGGTAGGCCTGGCAACCTACATTTTACCAAGCTCCTCTTGGTGACTTTCACATGTTGGCTAAACACAGACAAAGAATAAAAACACTTTTGAGAAGAAGTGCTCAGCACTGACAGGAACTCAGGCCATGGAAGCAAACACTGGTAGCTAAAGGTAGGATATGCTCCAGGCAGAGCAAATTGGGATTCTTAAGATGTTCCAAGAGGGATCTCATTCGTGCAATATTGC